GCCATCTACGTATAGTCCACGCAGCATGCTGTGTCAGCTACTGGCCCAGGCAGTTGGATCCACAGCAACTGGAGCTACTCAGGCGTGTTTTTGGACCATGGGAAACATTCTTGGCATGTCCATGACTATAGCCTAGCCGTATAGCCAATCAAAGATTTGGGGTTCACCGGCTTGGGACTCCAAGCCAGAACTTTTGGCAAGGGCAGACCTGTTTGAAGGTCAATGACAGTCAGACAGATATATACCAGTTGGTCATGAGTCGACTCCATTCTATTCATGTTCAATTCAATAGTGATGATGTTCACTTTTGCATTTGACACTCGCCAACACTCGATTTATCATCGCTGATTTTTGTTCAGATGTTTCAGGCCTTTGAAGCCAGCAGCAAAATATCATAATTATAGCAACAATATATAAGAATTATTTATATCATATCATATCATTTCATATCATATATGGTCATATCATATATCACCGACATCATTATCGTAGTCATGATCATGATCATGATCATGATCATTGCCATCATCATCAACATCATCATCATCATCATCATCATCATCATCATCATCATCATCATCATTATCATCATCATCATCAGCGTCATCGTCATCATCATCATCATCATCATCATCATCATCATCATCATCATCATCATCATCATCATAATCATAACTGCCATCGTCATCATCATTGTCATCATCATTATCATTGTCATCAGCATTATCATCATCAACAACAACATCATCATCATCATGATGTCAGCATCATCGTCATTGTCATCATCATCAACATCATCATCATCATCATCATCATCAACATGATCACCATCACCATCATCACTGTCACCATCATCATCATCATCATCATCATCAACAGTATCACCATCACCATCACCATCATCATCATCATCAGCATCATCACCATCATCATTGTCATCGTCATCGTCATCATCATCATCATCATCATCATTGTCATCGTCATCGTCACCATCATCATAATTATCATCATCAGCATCATCATGATCATCATAGTCGTCATATTTATCATCATAATCAACAACATCTTCATCATGATCATCATGATCATCATCATCATCGTCATCATCATCAGCATCATCAGCATCATCATCATCATCATCATCAGCAGCATCATCAGCATCATCATCATCATAATCATCATCAGCAGCAGCATCAGCGGCATCAGCATCAGCATCAGCATCAGCATCAGCATCATCATCATCATCATCATCATCATCATCATCATCATCATCATCATCATCATCATCTTCATCCTTCCTCATATATCATACATGTAGTACATATAATGTAATCATTTTTCACTTATCACATGTTCGTTTTGTCCAATTCCCTTCCCAGGGTTTCATTCCCCGGCCAGATGAGTCCCAAGAGCAGCGCCTCAAAGACCACCAACAAGTCCAAGCCGGTCCAGGAGCGGGCCGAATCTGGCCGCAAGAAATCTTGGGCTGGTCACCTGATAAGCTTCTGGCCTAATATGATGAGTTACTGGCCAAATATATCCAAATATGATGATTGTGATGATGATTATTGATGTTGAGCGCTTACGATGTTTCATATAAACCGTGATTGCCTATAAACGAATCATTACTCATGTAATGATGAATAATAAGGGGGAAACTCAAACATATTTTTTTAGGGGTCGAAGTGTAGCAGGGGGTTGGCTGAATCCCCATTGTGTCACTCGGCAGGCCAGATCGACATGGCAGCAGCTGCCACTCGGCAGAACTTGAGTGACACGGGCCATGGAGTGGCTGAAGCTTTGAAATGCCAATTGTGTGATGTCGGAGGGAACACCAACAATCAAAAAGACACGCGTCATATGAATCATGTACATGTACATCATGTACTTGGATGGGAAATGCAACACAAGTACATCAATTTTGCCTTGAATCTCCCGGTGACTTTCCTGGCAGCCCGACGGGCTGAGCCAGTGAGGCTAACCGAGAAGACCAAAACAGCGAAATCATGGTGTAGCAAGCTGAGGCATTTGGGGAAACAGATTGATTTGTGTAACACATGGACAGTTGACCATCAAAAATAGGCGTTCAAACATCAAAACGGTGACTTGAACCATCCCAACATTGGTTAAAACGTTTTGATTTAAGAATGATACTACATATTCACACGTCAGGGTTGTTCCGCAACCAGTCAGGTTAATGATTGCGGCCACGCATAGGACAATGATGTTTACGTTTTTATATTAGATTACGTTTTGATGTATCTAATTTCCATGTCCATTTGGTTGATGGTTGGTACCTAAATCACCACTCAAGTTCAGATGTCTTCAATGAGGCGTTCTAGGCTCGTGTCACCACAGGTGGAGCGGGTGTTCAATTGAAAGTCACAGGCGATTGCGGCCGTGGCGGCCAAGATCACGTGCAACTGCCAGAGCAAAAACACGGCAATTGTTTTGCACCAGCATAGTCGGTACCAAATATGTAGAAAGCACAAGAGGAAAAAATAGAACAAGCAGTTAAAGCAAAATGAAGTGGCCACCAGACCTGCATGTGGCATGTGCCTATATGATATATGCATGTGTCCAGACTTGCTCATTCACTTTCAATATGGGGATGGATCGAAAACACATGCTGGCATGCCTCCATGCCCACATATTTTGGTAATGTTCAGTACATTACAGCAGTAAATACTTCATGTTCCTTCCTGTGCCCGATTTCTACCTACACCTGAAGCCTGAATGACTCTTAGTTCAGATATTTATAGATCTTCCCTAGCAGTGCCTATAGTATGATGACTTTGAATTTCTGATGGTTTTATATGTTTTATGACTCAATCCACACCCATATGACTAGTGGTGATGATCGTGATGACTCAATTTCAATGTTTCTGGCTGCTTCGCAGGTCTTGTTCCTGCTCCTGCAGCTGCTGTTGCTGTAAGAGCCGCAGCCTTCCAGTGGTTCGTGGCAATAGCGCCCCACGCAACCATTGGCTGGTGGCCACAGGGGGGGAGGCTTGGGAATCCGATGGCCGGGATATTTGGGTTAGGCTAAGGAAGAATTTGCAGGAAACTGACCTCCTTGGCCAGTGATGCTGATAGTAAACAATGGTTTCCTGTAGGTGTTCCCTTAAACCAATGCGTTGGCTTTGAGAAACATGCACGCCAAACACCGAAAGTTGCAATTCAACACAGGTGCCGAAGTGCATTCCAAAGCTGTTTGACAACAAAAGAGGGTTTCGAAGTTGAAACGGGTTAGTCTGAATATTTATATAAAATAGAGGATACCCACAATATCCCATTTTTTTAGCCATTTCAGAGGGAATTCATGATGATACTCCATTGGAATTGGGGATACCTTATTTTCAAACAGCCCCACCATGGTTTTGCTGGAGATTCGTCGTGATGGATGTGGCCAGCTATGGCCAGCTTAATCCGCCAGGATTGTCGTTTGGTGATTTGGCTCCTTCGCCAACTTAGGTGGGATCATGAAAGGGATGCTGCCATGTCCGGCTATCCTTACTTGTGTTTCATCACAAGATTCTAATGTGGTAAGACCAATAGTACAAGTACACAAAATTCATCTGGCTGGTGGTTTCAAACATGTTTTATTTTCCATTTCATATATGGGATGTCATCCTTCCCATTGACTTTCATATTTTTCAAGATGGTTATTGCAATATGAACCAGCATATATGTCATTATTAGATATCAAGAAATGGCTGGGATCTCAAAGTTATGGCGGTACCCAAATGGACAACATCTCGAGAGTCTCGGTGAAAGCCACGGAGCCAGGCCCAAGACTCCTTTGGAGGCACCCATTGGTTGGGCTATGTTGGGATATTATAGGACATAGGAGTACCCTCTGGTAATTTAACATAGCTATGGAAAATCACCATTTTTAATGGGAAAATCCACTATAAATCACCATTTTCAATAGCTATTTTGACATAACCAGAGGGTATACTACAGTACATTGGGCTGATTCCAGCTCGATTTCTCAGCTCTTTCCGTGCAGATCCGAGCTTCTAAGCGATTTGGTCAGCTGGACGCTCCAGCTGAATAGCTGAGGAGTCCACACTGGAACGCTTTCCTAAGATCCAATATCGATGTTTGTCGCAGATCGAACTGTCACTTGACATTTTTATTTACATAATGTTGGTGACTTGATGACTGTTAATTGTTAATTGTTAATCAAATGTTCGGAAGTATGTTTGGGGAGATGCATTTTACATATCTGAGGAACTGTCCGCAACACAAGAGCTACTACTATTTGTTCACTCATGTTGTTGTGGAGAGCACGTATCCTCCATGTCCATATCCATTACTGCTTGCCATTTGACGATGCTCCAGCTCATTATTAAAGGCCACAACAACATCAGGCATGCAACCATCAGCAAGAACCCACCTCAAGATAGCTGCAGAAGAGTCAGCTAGTTGTCACGTTTCAACATGCTTCAATTCGTGTTTAGTATTACTGTAATTTAGTATACAAGCCCTTCAGCATCCTTCTATGGGAAGTCAGCTCATCCCAGCTGTCCTGGCCATGTTGTTATCTAGAACCAGTGTACAATGGAAACGCAACAGCTGGGCCTGAAACTAAAGGCAGAATATCCATTTCCCAAGGCGGCCATACATTGAATCTCGATATAACGTCGGAATAAAGTACAATAAAAAACATTTCATGGATGCAACATGATGCAGCAAAAAGCCAGACATAACGATACGGGCAGAAATAAGCCCCTTGAGTTCTGCAACCGCGATCAGTGCGGCCTTGTTTGCTGCCTTGGTCAAAGTCAGCCCGGCAACCCATTGGGACATGGGTGCCACGGAGAAAGCATGCTGTTTCCCAGCTGTGGCTGGTATCAAAACCATCAAAACCCTGTGGAGGCAGAAGCGGTGCCAGAGGCAACCCTCAATTGAATCCTCGAGACTTTAGAGAAGTGTCGACCGTACTCACATCACAGGAACTTATAGAAATGGCATGCCTATATGGTTCCCTTAGGCCTCTCACATCCCGAGGCCATGGCAGTTTCTTGATGGCCCCGCAACTGCCACAGGCGGATTCGTGGTTCCGAAAACGTTCCGAACAGTGTGGGTTCTGGCCCCTTCTGGTTCCAACACCATGCCGGACCATGCCGGATGGTTGAAGAGGGGTTAAGATGATTCCGGGATTGTAACGATTTGTCACGATTCAAGGGCGTTATGGCCCTTTTGAGGTTTTTAAGTGAAAAGTGTGAAAAGAAAAGCAACATCCATACCTCTTGAGGGCTGGGTCGATATACAAACATACAACTTTCCAAATAAAACAAATAAAGCACGGCTCATGTCACTGGTGATTGGTGGTTTATGGATCAACGATGCGTCGTGGAGGCCGCTTTAGCTCAAGATGAGCTGGATGCGTCACCTCGCAGTCGCCGGAGGCGTGGCCAGCTTACCTGATTACACCAACCATAATGTACAATGTACAGTACAACAACTGAACATAACCAAATGATGTTTGATAATAGGTCAGTGATTAATCCATATTGGATAATCAATATTAGATATGTTAGTCAATGATCCATATAAATATGTAACATATCAATATTTCATTACAAAGACAGATTAAATCCAAAGATGTAAATCCATTCCAAGTCCCATGGACTTCGTCCCCTTCTCCGTTCAGGTCTGGAAGGTCGGCATCCCCGACAAAGCCGGGGCGCGGTGATAAGACACCCTCCAGAAACCTGGGTGGCGAGAAGGCCGTGCTGGATGGATAGATGGATGGATAAGGATGGATGGATGGACATATGATACACATATATATATATGTGTATATATATATATATGTGTGTGTATGTATGTATGTGGATATATGATGATATACATATGATGATATATGATATTTTGTATAGATGGCGGTTTGTCACTGAAGTGAACTTACATCCCCTGACATGAATTCAACCAGTGCAATGGGCTGGTGCCAGAGGGGTCTCCAGCATTGCAGGTTCAGACAGCCGTTCGGTTACGGCCCTTCCTCACAACAGAGTTGGTGAAGGTGGGATAGATGAATATGTGGGGCGATGATCAGCTGTGATATGTTGAAGTTATCGTTTCTTTTTTTTTTGTGACCCCTTTTTAAAGGACAGCTAAACACATTTCATATGGGTATGGATCAATACCTATTAATACCATGTTTAGGGGGATGAACATCCATAAATCCCAGCTATTTTGATGTGAACTACAGGGGTACAAGGTTTTGACACACTGCCATATCAACCCCGAAAAGATCCAACAAACACCTTGCCACCTGGTTGGATCACTGGTGCAGGTCACGAGCTCACCCATCGCCCCTGCATGGCCTGCATGGCCTGCATGGGAGCGTCAATCGTCGCCCTCGTCCCATGTGAGAAGCTGCGTTGAGGCCTGGTGAAGGTCTAGTTTTTTTAGAGACAAATATGAACATTGGAGGACAAAATGATGTCATCAATTCAAATGATAACTGGATATAACTGGCTTTAAAGATGTTTGTAAGGTTTTACATCCAACTTGGGATTCATGGTATGATGATCCCATAATTCCCTATAGATTTTTTGGGGGGATCAATATCTGCGGAGTTTTGGAGTTCTGGATACAGGTGATCGCAGGTTTGAAACGCGGTGCTTTGTCCATGTTATCGAGGTACAAACTCCTGATCCCAATTATGTACATTGATTGTGTCAGTAATGGAAAGTATATATACTATAATATTATATATATATGTATACTCAAAGAAACATATTCTCAAGTATTATATATATAATAAGTATCAATCCTATTATTCCCAGATATTGCAACATATTGCACAACATTCTGTCCGTCGCATCCCTTGGCCACAGATGAAACCCAATGGTCATGGCGTGGTGCTCTACGATCCAGAGGTGCTGGTGAAAAGCGCGTTCGTTCGTTAAGTGGAGGTTGACTTTGGAGACTGTAATAGGTTGGTTTCATGGGCTCTTACCTTGAAGCTTCAAGGTTTCCAGTTGCTAGCTAAAATTTCGATCTCAGAAGCATTGGACTTGGACATAGGTGTCATAGGTCAACATGTGTTCTAAAGGAGCTCAATGGTAGATGAAACTGACTACCCATGCCCAACTGTCAATTGAAGATCAATCCTGGGGCCACCTACATTCAACGCAGAAACCTCATCAACCTGGACGTGAGTTTGAATGTACCTACGCTTTTGATTCCAGTCTGGGGCTCAGAGTGCCATGCCGTACCGGGCAGTTTTGGAGAATCCCAGTCCAGTTGTCTTATCCCACCATTTCCGGTATACTTTGGCGGAGATGATGTACTCTTTGTTTCAGAAAGAAAAGGCTAGGCACATACGTTTGAAGTTGAGCAAATCTAGTTGGAGCTAGCCACAAGCCGAAAGAAAGTTTCTGTTTGTTACTTGCCATTGGATATCTTGACGGGCTTCAGGACCCTTGTCCCATGGCCAACAGGTATATCAACGCCAGTTGGCTTGTTGCGAAATTCAATGCAAACTGAAACACATGCATTTGCCATTCTTACCTGTTCTTACCCCGTCATGATGCACGGGTTTTGAATCCACATGAATGAAGCATTCACGTAGCATTCACACATTTGTGCTAGATTCCTGGTCCAAAGCTCCTCAGTTCGCCCTGAGGTCAGCCGCAATCAAGAGACTATGCGGATCAAAGTGAGCCGAACGTTGGGCCATGGATTGAACCAAGCTTGATCCTTGTTGACGACATGTGTACTACTGCACATTGATATTTTAATTCTATATGCATATGAAACACACACACACCTATATATATATGTGTATACTGTATATATATATATATATACATGCGATGTCATACATGCATGTATCTGATGTTTGTGAAGATCAAGTTCTTGTAGTCGTCAAAGAGTCGCTGGCCATTGCCAGCCAACAGCCTCAACAGGTACCATCTACAACTGCCTCGGGGCAGACATGGTTATGCATGGAACTACAGGCTGGTGCGGTTGATTCACCAAGCACGGCATCTAACAAGAATTCCTGAGATCAATTTTGAAGAGCAAGTCAAACCTGGAAACGTATGGCGGTTGAACTCAATGCATTGATGTCAAGCAAGCACTAAGACTAAGTTCATGTTCTTTAGGTGTAATTAGGTGTGTGTGCGTGCTTCATCATATTTTTTCCATCCTCAATGTGACTGGTGCCCTTTGCAATGTGATTTTTGCTGAGCACCTCACTTCCAGTGGCTGGAGCAGGCTACAACTGTTGTTTGGTGGCCTATGGGCAAACTGGTACAGGGTACGGTGCCCAGTGGCCTTTCCTCAGGTTTTCGGCCTCAACTTCCCCAGTGGCTGAGGAAGACTCACACAGTGCATGGAGACTGGCAGAGCCAGGATCAGCGCGGTTTGTTGCCCCGTATTGCTGAAGGCGCTGTCTGGCAGAGGATGGACAGGTCAGAATTGATGTATAATGTATATAACTGACCAGATGGCAAATAGCTCCAATAGCTCCAAAATGCTCCAATGCCTGTCAACCATGGGTAATCATTGCACTTTAAGATCCGCTGAGATTTTAGACAGCTTTAGGCATTTTTCATCATTTTTCGACCATCTTTGCTTACCACCCATCACTTCAGATCTTGTTTGGGTGTTTTGAAGCATAACTCGCATGACTTTTGCGGCCGTTGGACTCACCGCATGTCAGGTCTTTTCGAACGTTTGGCGAGTTTACCAGCAGGCGTTTGGCACAAAAAACCGGCTCCCGAAGCTCCATATTAAACAGACCCCATATCACTGATGGGCCCCAAGATTTCTACGAATCCCAAACGTTTGGCCGGATGTATGTCATATATGTTTTAGATATTTTTAGATGGTGTTAGTGAATTGAATGGAATAAAATGATATTCGAAGCTGTTAGAATCCCCGCGCTTTTCCAATTCCAGGATTTAATTTTGCAGCTGCAGCTGTCCATGAGGTGATACAGGGCGAGTGCGCATCTCCTACATTGAGGCCAGGGGAAGCAAGCTCGACAGCAATGATGAAAAGGTCACACTGATGGGACTCCGCATCGTCAAATAATATGCACTTGACATCGATTGTTGGCCATGACGGAGATGGTGTTTTCTGTCAAGTCATGACCTCATTGTTTGGCAGTAAAACGACATTAACATGTGATAAGATGTGATAAGACTAAGACTGTGCATTTCTTGTGTTGGATGACAGCCTCTATTGCCATTACAATGATCTTTTTGTCCAGGTCTACAATGATCGCTTGCGTGATTTATTATGTACCACTGCTATCACGGCTCGCTCGGAATATGACGGACTCGCCCTGAGGATTTGGTTCTGCTTTTGATCAGGGGCTCAGAGAAATTGAATGAAATTGAATGAAATTGACGTATCTGTGAATCTCCCAACTAATATCAACTAATTATTTAAGGGCTGCCGCCCCTGCCGCCGACCCCGGAAGAATTGGCAAGCCGTCAGAACGTATATATGGTACAGGCCTGCACCCCCCCCCCAAAAAAATGGGGAAAGGATGTTCCTGGGATAGTTTTACACGCATTGTTGCCTGTTATGGTTTTTATGTTAAAGGGGAACGTGCGTTCCTTGGTGTTGATGTTTTTTGTGATGTATGTTGTAAGACATTTTTGGTAAAAACGTTTCATCCTAACCTTGTTGATTATTTTAGGGGAGTATCATTGATTGGGTCAGGATTTGTTGAGGTTGTTAGGGTTTTAAAGTTTTCACTTATTCAACTAAGATTTGAAAAGAAGGGAATGTATCATTAAGATTGTCTATTATTTCTTGATGACTTAACGGTTCTGTCACTTCTTCATTGTTTGATTGTTTTTGTGTTTTTCCATTATCTTTTTGTTTTTGACCGGAATTGTTGGTTTGTGCTCATGGTTTTTTCTTTCCATTTCTTTTTAGGATGGTGTGTCTGACCACCCTTGCGTGAGTCGTAGGCTTCGCAAGGAAAAAGGCACATCGTAATAATTGGGTTTGTGAAATGGAAAGAAAAAACATGGGCCCAAGCCAGTAGCATCAGCAGCATCATTAGCTTCAGCATCAGAATATATATATATATATTGTTATCACTGTTACAATTAAATTATTATCAGTATTTAGTAGATGAATTTGGTGAAAACATGGGGGGTTTTGATCTTGTGATCGTCCTGGTGGTAGCTACAGGCAAAAAGAATTTAAGGTACTGTATCACATCATCCTATTTGAGTTGGCATGTTTGTTAACTTACCCATTTTTCAGGTTCTGCATGGGGTTCATCCCGGTATGGTGTTGGTGCATCTCAGCTCGTAGCAGCAGTGTTTCCTATGGTTTTGCAGCGCTTGTCTTGGCGATGGACTGCTTCGCCCTCTACTCGAAGGAGGGCCGGGTGAGCGGTGGATTTTGAACGGCAAGATGTGTGATTTTTTGCGAAGCAAAATGGGGAATAAACAGAGATACGATGATCTGGTTGGTGCGTTGGAACATGAATTTTATTTTCCATATATTGGGAATTTTACAACCCCAACTGACGAAGTCATATTTTTCAGAGGGGTAGGTATACTACCAACCAGTGATATTTAATGGCATATATCCAGATAAAAAAAATATAAACCCACTTGGAGGTTTAATGGAACAAAACATCTACAACAGGGGGATGTTCAATTGCCACTATCTACAAAGACTCGCCCATAGGATCGATGTATGGTATACAGTATATGCTAACATTTGGGGTATATTGATGGCAAATGTTACCATATATAGCATACATGGATCTTATGGGTTTCAAATACTATCAAAATATTTGTATCATAGTTGAGAATCCGCGTAGTTTGCATAGATGGTGATTATCCAGTTCGCAAACATTCCGCTGAGTCTGGGGGTTTTTCCACACGTAGTCCCCTCACACGTCGAGATGGAAGACAGAGTCATGTTTTTGGACCAGTACACCAGCTTGTATGTTTCACATAGAAAACACCAATGAAACATGTGTGTATAGATATATATATATAGAGAGAGAGAGAGAGACATTTCTTTTCGCACATATGCCCTACTTGTGGAACCTGCGTCCAGAGCACCAAAGAATTTGGGCGAATCCAAAGCAAACACAAACAATCCAATGGCCGCGTGTGCCCCCGAACGGAATGGCATGCACAGTAACAACAAACGACCAGTTCCGGCTTGCTTGTCTGCTTCAGCTCTCAGCATGAAAACTTTCTGCTCCTGCTGCTGTTGCGGCAAAAGCTTCTGCTGCTGTTATTGCTGCTGCCGCGGGTCGTCTATTTGCTGCTGTTACTTTTCCTCCTGCTAGCAGGCAAAAAACTTCGATGGTGTTGCCTGCGGTTGCTTGCATTACAACAGCTTCTACCAAATCGCACACACCATGGCTCTGAAGGACGATCTAGTTCCAAAAACCACGCCAAAAAAGTGCCTAACGTCCCGTCTGAAATCCCAGAAAAACAACTTTTTTCGAGAATTTCTGTTGCCTGCGGCCGCTCGCAGGAAAACAACTTCGAAAAAAGCAGCTCCCGGCAGGAAAACACCATGGCTCTGAAGGACGAACTAGTTCCAAAACCACGCCACAAAAGTGCCTAACGTCCCTTCTGAAATCCTAGAAAAACAACCTTTTTCGAGAATTTCTGTTGCCTGCGGCCGCTCGCAGGAAAACAACTTCGAAAAAAGCAGCTCCCGGCAGGAAAACACCATGGCTCTGAAGGACGAACTAGTTCCACAACCACGCCAAAAAAGTGCCTAACCTCTCGTCTGAAATCCTAGAAAAACAACCTTTTTCGCAGGAAAACAACTTCGAAAAAAGCATAAAAGCAGCCCCCGGCAGGAAAACACCATGGCTCTGAAGGACGAACAACCTTTTTCGCAGGAAAACAACTTCGAAAAAAGCAGCTCCCGGCAGGAAAACACCATGGCTCTGAAGGACGATCTAGTTCCAAAAACCACGCCAAAAAAGTGCCTAACGTCCCGTCTGAAATCCAAGAAAAACAACATTTTTCGAGAATTTCTGTTGCCTGCGGCCGCTCGCAGGAAAACAACTGCGAAAAAAGCAGCTCCCGGCAGGAAAACACCATGGCTCTGAAGGACGAACTAGTTCCAAAACCACGCCAAAAAAGTACCTAACGTCCCGTCTGAAATCCTAGAAAAACAACCTTTTTCCAGAATTTCTGTTGCCTGCGGCCGCTCGCAGGAAAACAACTTCGAAAAAAGCAGCTCCCGGCAGGAAAACACCATGGCTCTGAAGGACGAACTAGTTCCAAAACCACGCCAAAAAAGTGCCTAACGTCCCTTCTAAAATCCTAGAAAAACGACATAAAACAACATAAAACAACTTTTTTCGAGAATTTCTGTTGCCTGCGGCCGCTCGCAGGAAAACAACTTCGAAAAAAGCAGCTCCCGGCAGGAAAACACCATGGCTCTGAAGGACGAACTAGTTCCAAAACCACGCCAAAAAAGTGCCTAACGTCCCTTTTGAAATCCTAGAAAAACAACCTTTTTCGAGAATTTCTGTTGCCTGCGCCCGCTCGCAGGAAAACAACTTCGAAAAAAACATAAAAGCAGCTCCCGGCAGGAAAACACCATGGCTCTGAAGGACGAACTAGTTCCAAAACCACGCCAAAAAAGTGCCTAACGTCCCTTCTGAAATCCTAGAAAAACAACCTTTTTCCGAAAACAATTTCGAAAAAAGCATAAAAGCAGCTCCCGGCAGGAAAACACCATGGCTCTGAAGGACGAACTAGTTCTAAAACCACGCCAAAAAAGTGCCTAACGTCCCGTCTGAAATCCTAGAAAAACAACCTTTTTCGAGAATTTCTGTTGCCTGCGGCCGCTCGCAGGAAAACAACTTCGAAAAAATCACCTCCCGGGGGGGAAAACACCAGGGCTCTGAAGGACGAGCGAGTGCCAGAACCACGCCAAAAAAGTGCCTAACGTGTCGTCTGAAATCCTAGAAAAATCTAGATTAGATTTTTGGTAGGCTGCTGGCTGCTGGCTGCTACTGGCGCTGGCTGCTAGCTACTGGCTATGTGCACCTTTTGCGTGCTCTTGCCCACGTTCTTGACACCCATTAGTGCCATCCTAGAAAAACACAATTTTTCGTGCTGCTAGCTGCTGCACTGCTACCATTGCGCTTACTGCTGCTGCGTCTGCTTGTGTCTGCTGCTGCCTGCTGCTGCCTGCTGCCTGCTGCTGCCTGCGGGCAGCTCCCCTGTGCGTCGGCCGGTCCCGTCTGAAATCCCAGAAAAACAACTTTTTTCGAGAATTTCTGTTGCCTGCGGCCGCTCGCAGGAAAACAACTTCGAAAAAAGCAGCTCCCGGCAGGAAAACACCATGGCTCTGAAGGACGAACTAGTTCCAAAACCACGCCAAAAAAGTGCCTAACGTCGCTTCTGAAATCCTAGAAAAACAACCTTTTTCGAGAATTTCTGTTGCCTGCGGCCGCTCGCAGGAAAACAACTTCGAAAAAAGCAGCTCCCGGCAGGAAAACACCATGGCTCTGAAGGACGAACTAGTTCCACAACCACGCCAAAAAAGTGCCTAACGTCCCGTCTGAAATCCTAGAAAAACAACCTTTTTCGCAGGAAAACAACTTCGAAAAAAGCAGCTCCCGGCAGGAAAACACCATGGCTCTGAAGGACGAGCTAGTTCCAAAACCACGCCAAAAAAGTGCCTAACGTCCCGTCTGAAATCCAAGAAAAACAACATTTTTCGAGAATTTCTGTTGCCTGCGGCCGCTCGCAGGAAAACAACTGCGAAAAAAGCAGCTCCCGGCAGGAAAACACCATGGCTCTGAAGGACGAACTAGTTCCAAAACCACGCCAAAAAAGTACTTAACGTCCCGTCTGAAATCCCCCGGCAGGAAAACACCATGGCTCTGAAGGACGAACTAGTTCCAAAACCACGCCAAAAAAGTGCCTAACGTCCCGTCTGAAATCCTAGAAAAACAACATTTTTCGAGAATTTTTTCTGTTGCCTGCGCCCGCTCGCAGGAAAACAACTTCGAAAAAAACATAAAAGCAGCTCCCGGCAGGAAAACACCATGGCTCTGAAGGACGAACTAGTTCCAAAACCACGCCAAAAAAGTGCCTAACGTCCCGTCTGAAATCCTAGAAAAACAACCTTTTTCCGAAAACAACTTCGAAAAAAGCATAAAAGCAGCCCCCGGCAGGAAAACACCATGGCTCTGAAGGACGAACAACCTTTTTCGCAGGAAAACAACTTCGAAAAAAGCAGCTCCCGGCAGGAAAACACCATGGCTCAGAAGGACGAGCTAGTTCCAAAACCGCGCCAAAAAAGTGCCTAACGTCCCGTCTGAAATCCTAGAAAAACAACCTTTTTCGAGAATTTCTGTTGCCTGCGGCCGCTCGCAGGAAAACAACTGCGAAAAAAGCAGCTCCCGGCAGGAAAACACCATGGCTCTGAAGGACGAACTAGTTCCAAAACCACGCCAAAAAAGTACCTAACGTCCCGTCTGACATCCTAGAAAAACAACCTAACGTCCCGTCTGAAATCCTAGAGAAACAACCTTTTTCGAGAATTTCTGTTGCCTGCGGCCGCTCGCAGGAAAACAACTGCGAAAAAAGCAGCTCCCGGCAGGAAAACACCATGGCTCTGAAGGACGAACTAGTTCCAAAACCACGCCAAAAAAGTACCTAGCGTCCCGTCTGAAATCCTAGAAAAACAACATTTTTCGAGAATTTCTGTTGCCTGCGGCCGCTCGCAGGAAAACAACTTCGAAAAAAGCAGCTCCCGGCAGGAAAACACCATGGCTCTGAAGGACGAACTAGTTCCAAAACCACGCCAAAAAAGTGCCTAACGTCCCGTCTGAAATCCTAGAAAAACAACATTTTTCGAGAATTTTTTCTGTTGCCTGCGCCCGCTCGCAGGAAAACAACTTCGAAAAAAACATAAAAGCAGCTCCCGGCAGGAAAACACCATGGCTCTGAAGGACGAACTAGTTCCAAAACCACGCCAAAAAAGTGCCTAACGTCCCTTCTGAAATCCTAGACAAACAACCTTTTTCCGAAAACAACTTCGAAAAAAGCATAAAAGCAGCTCCCGGCAGGAAAACACCATGGCTCTGAAGGACGAACTAGTTCTAAAACTACGCCCAAAAAGTGCCTAACGTCCCGTCTGAAATCCTAGAAAAACAACCTTTTTCGAGAATTTCTGTTGCCTGCGGCCGCTCGCAGGAAAACAACTTCGAAAAAATCACCTCCCCGGGGGGAAAACACCAGGGCTCTGAAGGACGAGCGAGTGCCAGAACCACGCCAAAAAAGTGCCTAACGTGTCGTCTGAAATCCTAGAAAAATCTAGATTTTTGGTAGGCTGCTGGCTACTGGCTGCTGGCTGCTACTGGCGCTGGCTGCTAGCTACTGGCTATGTGCACCTTTTGCGTGCTCTTGCCCACGTTCTTGACACCCATTAGTGCCATCCTAGAAAAACGCAATTTTTCGTGCTGCTAGCTGCTGCACTGCTACCATTGCGCTTACTGCTGCTGCGTCTACTTGTGTCTGCTGCTGCCTGCTGCTGCCTGTTGCCTGCTGTTTGCTGCTGCCTGCGGGCAGCTCCCCTTTGCGTCGGCCGGTCCCGTCTGAAATCCCAGAAAAACAACTTTTTTCGAGAATTTTTGTTGCCTGCGGCCGCTCGTAGGAAAACAACTTCGAAAAAAGCAGCTCCCGGTAGGAAAACACCATGGCTCTGAAGGACGAACTAGTTCCAAAACCACGCCAAAAAAGTGCCTAACGTCCCTTCTGAAATCCTAGAAAAACAACCTTTTTCGAGAATTTCCGTTGCCTGCGGCCGCTCGCAGGAAAACAACTTCGAAAAAAGCAGCTCCCGGCAGGAAAACACAATGGCTCTGAAGGACGAATTAGTTCCACAACCACGCCAAAAAAGTGCCTAACGTCCCGTCTGAAATCCTAGAAAACAACCTTTTTCGCAGGAAAACAACTTCGAAAAAGGCAGCTCCCGGCAGGAAAACACCATGGCTTTGAAGAACGAGCTAGTTCCAAAACCACGCCAAAAAAGTGCCTAACGTCCCGTCTGAAATCCTAGAAAAACGACCTTTTTCGAGAATTTCTGTTGCCTGCGGCCGCTCGCAGGAAAACAACTGCGAAAAAAGCAGCTCCCGGCAGGAAAACACCATGGCTCTGAAGGACGAACTAGTTCCAAAACCACGCAAAAAAAAGTACCTAACGTCCCGTCTGAAATCCTAGAAAAACAACCTTTTTCGAGAATTTCTGTTGCCCGCGGCCGCTCGCAGGAAAACAACTTCGAAAAAAGCAGCTCCCGGCAGGAAAACACCATGGCTCTGAAGGACGAACTAGTTCCAAAACCACGCCAAAAAAGTGCCTAACGTCCCGTCTGAAATCCTAGAAAAACAACCTTTTTCGAGAATTTCTGTTGCCTGCGCCCGCTCGCAGGAAAACAACTTCGAAAAAAACATAAAAGCAGCTCCCGGCAGGAAAACACCATGGCTCTGAAGGACGAACTAGTTCCAAAACCACGCCAAAAAAGTGCCTAACGTCTCTTCTGAAATCCTAGAAAAACAACATAAAACAACATAGAAAAACAACATAAAACAACATAAAACAACCTTTTTCGAGAATTTCTGTTGCCTGCGGCCGCTCGCAGGAAAACAACTTCGAAAAAAGCAGCTCCCGGCAGGAAAACACCATGGCTCTGAAGGACGAACTAGTTCCAAAACCACGCCAAAAAAGTGCCTAACGTCCCGTCTGAAATCCTAGAAAAACAAAATTTTTCGAGAATTTCTGTTGCCTGCGCCCGCTCGCAGGAAAACAACTTCGAAAAAAACATAAAAGCAGCTCCCGGCAGGAAAACACCATGGCTCTGAAGGACGAACTAGTTCCAAAACCACGCCAAAAAGTGCCTAACGTCCCTTCTGAAATCCTAGAAAAACAACCTTTTTCCGAAAACAACTTCGAAAAAAGCATAAAAGCAGCTCCCGGCAGGAAAACACCATGGCTCTGAAGGACGAACAACCTTTTTCGCAGGAAAACAACTTCGAAAAAAGCAGCTCCCGGCAGGAAAACACCATGGCTCTGAAGGACGAGCTAGTTCCAAAACCACGCCAAAAAAGTGCCTAACGGCCCGTCTGAAATCCTAGAAAAACAACCTTTTTCGAGAATTTCTGTTGCCTGCGGCCGCTCGCAGGAAAACAACTGCGAAAAAAGCAGCTCCCGGCAGGAAAACACCATGGCTCTGAAGGACGAACTAGTTCCAAAACCACGCCAAAAAAGTACCTAACGTCCCGTCTGACATCCTAGAAAAACAACCTAACGTCCCGTCTGAAATCCTAGAAAAACAACATTTTTCGAGAATTTCTGTTGCCTGCGGCCGCTCGCAGGAAAACAACTGCGAAAAAAGCAGCTCCCGGCAGGAAAACACCATGGCTCTGAAGGTCGAACTAGTTCCAAAACCACGCAAAAAAAGTACCTAACGTCCCGTCTGAAATCCTAGAAAAACAACATTTTTCGAGAATTTCTGTTGCCTGCGGCCGCTCGCAGGAAAACAACTTCGAAAAAAGCAGCTCCCGGCAGGAAAACACCAAGGCTCTGAAGGACGAACTAGTTCCAAAACCACGCCAAAAAAGTGCCTAACGTCCCGTCTGAAATCCTAGAAAAACAACCTTTTTCGAGAATTTCTGTTGCCTGCGCCCGCGCGCAGGAAAACAACTTCGAAAAAAACATAAAAGCAGCTCCCGGCAGGAAAACACCATGGCTCTGAAGGACGAACTAGTTCCAAAACCACGCCAAAAAAGTGCCTAACGTCTCTTCTGAAATCCTAGAAAAACAACATAAAACAACATAGAAAAACAACATAAAACAACATAAAACAACATAAAACAACCTTTTTCGAGAATTTCTGTTGCCTGCGGCCGCTCGCAGGAAAACAACTTCGAAAAAAGCAGCTCCCGGCAGGAAAACACCATGGCTCTGAAGGACGAACTAGTTCCAAAACCACGCCAAAAAAGTGCCTAACATCCCGTCTGAAATCCTAGAAAAACAACATTTTTCGAGAATTTCTGTTGCCTGCGCCCGCTCGCAGGAAAACAACTTCGAAAAAAACATAAAAGCAGCTCCCGGCAGGAAAACACCATGGCTCTGAAGGATGAACTAGTTCCAAAACCACGCAAAAAAAGTGCCTAACGTCCCTTCTGAAATCCTAGAAAAACAACCTTTTTCCGAAAACAACTTCGAAAAAAGCATAAAAGCAGCTCCCGGCAGGAAAACACCATGGCTCAGAAGGACGAGCTAGTTCCAAAACCACGCCAAAAAAGTGCCTAACGTCCCTTCTGAAATCCTAGAGAATCCTAGATCTAGATCTCTAGATCTATCCTAGATCTAGATCTAGATCCTAGTTCGGGAATCCTTGCTAGGCCAGCTGCTTCGGCCGAATCCCCCAGAATCTCCTAAACAATATTACAGCTAGGCCTGCTGTTTCGAAGCGGTTCCGAAACAGCAAAACACCACCTAATTTCGTGCCGAAAATAGCGAAAAATCGCGGCTTCGGGAATCCTTGCTAGGCCAGCTGCTTCGGCCGAATCCCCCAGAATCTCCTAAACAATATTACAGCTAGGCCTGCTGTTTCGAAGCGGTTCCGAAACAGCAAAACACCACCTAATTTCGTGCCGAAAATAACGAAAAATCGCGGCAGAAAACTACCTAACGTCCCTTCTGAAATCCTAGAGAATCCTAGATCTAGATCCAGATCCTAGATCTAGATCCAGATCCTAGTTTAGATCCTAGTTCGAGAATCCTAGCTGGGCCAGCCGTTTCAGCCGAATCCCTCAGAATCTCCGGTAGCTAGGCCAGCTGTTTCGGCCGAATCCCTAGAATCGCCTAAACAATATTACAGAAACCTGCCTAACGTCCCTTCTGAAATCCTAGAGAATCCTAGATCTAGATCTAGATCCTAGTTTAGATCCTACTTCGAGAATCCTAGCTGGGCCAGCTGTTTCGGCCGAATCCCCCAGAATCGCCTAAACAATATTATGGCTGGGCCTACTGTTTCGAAACGCTTCCGAAACAGCAAAACACCACCTAATTTCCATCTTCTTCCCTTACGCGCTCCCCCTTGCGTCGGCCGGGGTCGGCGGATACTGGTACGGCCAATGGATCTATGCCGAGTCACACCGGATTGCCATGGCATGCTCAGGCTCTCCGAGACTAAGCTCCCCGAGGACACCCAGAGCGGATCCTCACAAGTTCGCTTCTGGTGGAGGCGGGGTGTGTTTCAGATCGAACCGCGAATCAAGTCTGGATATACCACATTATACCACTATGATTATATACTCATATATGTCACTATGATTAATGTTGGTGTTGAATTTTAAGCTGCTGGGTACAGCGATTTGTTTCTAAAGGGATGAGAAGGGGGATGCAGATGACAGGCTGTTGGTATGTTGGCATGTCCTACGCTGGCCAGCTGTTGAGCTATGGCTATATCATGCTATATCATTCTCAGATTCTCACATGAGTTCGTGTTCGGAAACGTTGTACTTCATACTGTATTTAACGGGTGGTGTCCTGATTGGCTAAAGTTCCAGTTGCAGCGGCATTTTCCTGTTGTTGCTGCTACCGCTGCCACGGTATTTGACGCTGTGGAGGAGGTAACCGCTTGGAGGTCCGCACGCATCCTGAAGTTGGGGTTTATGTGGAGAATCTGCAGGAGACATCGGCAAGATGGGAGCAATTGATTTTGGGTCATTAGTTTGTATAGGATTTTTACATATTTTTTTAGGCAAATGAATCCGTCAATCCTGATTTCGACTCATCAACCCCACTGATTCCCTATTCAACCCCATAAGACGCATGGTGAATATCAAACTGCACCGCACCACAGGAGCTCCCTGTGGAGAATCTCCGGGATGTGGCGCGGCATGTGGCCAGAGGCGCCATGTGGCCAGGGGACCACTTGTGGTTGAGACCCCAATCAATCCATCCAAAATCAGCCCAAAGGATCCAAGAGTTTGAGGTTTAAGACAGACTACAGTACCAGTGACTACCACAATATTTAAAAAAATGGTTGAGCAGGAACGGCTTCAGGCTCTTTCAAAAGGTCTATTTGCCATCGCTGTGCAACAGTTTGAAGGTGAAGTGTAATGTAGGGACATGTAGGGACCACAGTGGCTGGTACCTATTGTCTCATTGCAAGCTGGTGCTGTGGGAAGGTGAAAGGGCAAAGAAAGTGGAAAGGCCAGGGGTCGGAGTGATTGTTTGTTGTGGTCTTTTGCACGGAGTGGCATATCTTTGGATGATGTTTGAACATTTCGTGAGTTCATGAAGATATCCTGGGACCATCTTTACCGATCTTTGATTTCTGTTGACCCTCAGTAAGTACTCAATTTCAAGGCTGGCTAATGCTGGCCATCAGCCCTGCTGGCTCGTTGGAACTTGGTTGTCCATGCATTGTCTCTTTGAGGAAGCCAAGGGCTTCAGATAGCAGATTGTGGAAGATTATTGCAGCACATGGACGCCAATATATATATATATATATACCCTCTGGTTATTTAACATAACCATGGAAAATGGTCCATTTATAGATGGGTTTACCATGGTTTACCTATCAAAAATGGTGATTTTCCATGGCTATGTTAAATAACCAGAGGATATATATATATATATATATATTATATATATATATGTTTTAACATGTTTTAATGTTCTGAGGCTCTGTAATTCCGGCATGATGGCATGGTCCAGGACCACAATGAACGATCGATCCAGCCGCTCTCACACCATCTTCTCCTTTAAGGTGCACCAGTTGGGTACCAGCTGGGTACCTTTTGGAACCATTTGGACAGACTCCTCATTGCGGTTTGTATGGTGAAAGGGTTGAAATGGGTTGAATATCTCTATATATAGAGAATTATAGAGATACGTGTGTAAATTAATGTAAATTAATGTAAATTACAGTTAGTAATTAAAACAAACAACCAGAGTTTGCTACTGTGGTCCAGCACCAAAGACCTGTGCAAACGAAATGCTTGCTTCAAATTTCAGGTCTGGCAACCCAATAGCTTTCAGAGAGGGGTATGTTGCTGTTACGTTCCAGGAACTGGTTCTGCTTGGCAAGACGTCTTAAAACCCTGCGTCATGGGATTTATTTGTGGTTTTTAAATATATTTTGTATGTGTGTTGTGGGCGATGTTTTTTGAGGAGCAGTTGTGGATGGATGAACTTCTTTCCTCACCGGTATTCTAATGTCCTCCAGTGTTCTTTTTTTCTCCGGTGCCCACTGATTGAAGGATGGGGGTGGGTTGCATGTGTTTGGACAGAACATGATTTTTTTTTTTGGGTGTGTGTTGAAATGGTATATACTACTCATTGTTGAGATCCACGAGTGTATTAGTTTAAGACTTGTCATTTGTATGGCACCATTGCACGCAATCATCAGGTGGAGTTGCGTGGTGCAGCACAGCACAACAGCCTCTCCAACATGCAGGCGTTGCCCCGTGTCATCCGTGCATATATTCATACAAGTGCCCCCGCACACAAGTCGGAGAAGAGTTGTCACATTCATATTGGTTAGAGAAAACAGGTACTACTTCAAGATGCATCAGCTGCATCCACAGGAATATGTATTCAATTGTATTCAATTATCACAGTAATCATTGTAACTCCAGAAAACATGAAAGGGAAGATCAGCAGAATTCCATGGCCCCAGTTCTCCCAGCTTCGGATGGATCGGCCACCAGATCGTGGACCTTGCGGGCCGCGAGAATGAGCAAACCTCCGAATGTAAGGATGAACGCTTCCGAGAGCTCAGGCGCTATGGGAGTTATTGGGTTTGTAATTTCACCTAGTAGTCACACCATGTCATAACATTTGCAGAATCAGCTGTTTTGGGGCATCATGATGATCATGCACCCGCACATTGTATATTATATATATATGTTATATGAGTTATATGTATATATTATATGGTATATATATATATACATATGTACATACACACAGGACCCCGAACAGACAGAAAAAATAGAGAAAGAACATCGAACAAAATTGACCAAGTGGAATGACAAACAAATTGTCATTGACCACCACATCCTGACGACTCAAACCAGGTACATCAATCGAAGCCTCTTCGAATTAGCCAATTGTATCTTCGCTCTTTGTGATGGCAACCGCGAGCATGTGCCATTTAGGCTGGTCCTGCAGCTTTTCCAAAGGGTTGTAGGATAGCCGTGGGAAGAGACTGATAAGAGACTGAAGAGGTGTGTTGTCGGTCTTTCGGTGGATAGGAATCTGAGTTCCAACACGCGCTCAACATCACTCAACCATATTACACGATGTGATTTTCACCTCTTTATTTATAGAAAAATGCAATTCTGTAGCGCAGATGGTTGGAGAAAGACTTCGTGAAAGAGAATTGTTCTTTTCCAGTAATTATTTGCGATCTGCCATTTTCCCAGCAAGATTTGTTTTTTTGCGTTAGGATCGACATCAACTGAACATTACCACTCCATGCCACTGACACTTATTTCAACTTATTTCTTTGATTTTCGACTGGCTATTGGCATACACGCTCCATCGTGCTCCAAATTGTACTTGGTTTGGATAATTAATATGCTTGCTGAAGATTCAATGCCCGAGCACCTTAGACAAGCATGTGTCGCATACATAGCTCAGACATATTCAGACTATTTTTGTTGGTTCCATCAATGTGGAAAATCGGTTTTGATATCCTTCCGTCAGGTTTTGGATTTATCATGCTTCAAAATACGTGCTTTCATATTATACTACAATCATTTACAACCTAAATAGATATCATTTAAATAACAGAAACATAATACTATATTAACATATCATCTTCAAATATGGGTTTGTCTGAAAATAGGCTTCCCCAATTCCAACAGATTCATATCATTTTCATTCAAACAAAGGCCATTGACTGGGCATACCCCATTTTCTGGCACAACCATATCGACATATATCAACCACTATGAACCAATCATATGTTGGAGGATCCTCCAGAGAGTTCTCGCAAAGCCTGCGACCTTTCCAGGAATTCCAAACTGACCATGCTGCCTGGGACCCTCAGACAGGGCACCTACCGTGACCGTAGTTAGGCTTTTGTAAAGCTGGTTGGTGGTGGTTTTCAAATGTTTCAGATATCACACTTTAATACACTATATAACTATATATATATATACATAGGTAGAACAGGTACAGTAGCCTTCCGCCTTTGATGGATGATGATCCCCAATTGACTAGAAGTTTGAAAGGGTTGCACGATTTTGGCAGTAAGACTCATATATTCGTAATGTGTCTGGGCTGGTGGCTGGTGGTGTCTCTGGGTCAGAATGGTATTTAACACATGGCAACGTATGCAAGGGCGAGGGCATAGAACCACACAATTTGGATGTAGACAACAATATATGATAATGCCACATAAAGCGTCACATACAGAGCATCACTTCCATAGGCATGTTCAGTATGCCATGCAGGTGGGCATCCAGATGCAACTAAAGGGATCCAAATTGGGGGCCCAAAAAACACCTGAGGCTCTCTGACAGTTTGTCCAGCAACAGCCGCACGACGTTACTTGCAACGTTGACGCCCAGCCCAAAAGGCGTGGCCGTCGTGGGATGGGGAACCATAGCCCAAAATTGGAATGTTAACGGGGAAAGTGATAAACCTCCGCAGATTTTTGAGTACCCGAGTCTTGAACATACTGTTACTGTTATATCGTGACTGTGGTAGGTGACCACCCCAACCATGGACAAAAAATCCTAGGAGACTTCATCACCTACTACACTGTTGTCGCCTAATCCGCTGGGCTACAGTTTTAGTTGCGTTTGTTGGCACCCAAAAATAATCGAAGAACATGGGCGCATGTTTTGGTATGATGAGACTTAGAGATCAGAACATCCAAAGTTCCCATGCAAGGCTGAATTGGAAGTCAGACGCAATCAGACGCAGCTTGTCGAAGGAACACACTTTACTGCACCCCAGCAATCCTTTGATAAGGTACAGTAGTATGATTTTCCGTTGGGTGGCTAGGTGTTTCATCCAGACCAGGGTGTAACTAGATAATGATGGATAATGGGCGTCATTGTCACATCTCATGTCACAGCAGCCACCCTGCAGAGGCTTTGATGAGAACATTTTGACCTGTCGCTTCCTGGAGTCGACAGGCTCCATGGGCACAGAATGTGTGTTTGAAGAACCACTCTGGGGCATCCATCTCTGTGTTCACATATGAACACATACTGTCATGAGTGTCATAAACCGCAAAACTCTGGGGATTGTGTATATTGTTTGCTGGAGCTAGAACTTGAGCAGACGCATTGTGATCAAGTCGCAGGTTTCTGGGCATTTGTGCGACCACCCTTTGTTTCCTCATGAGGCTCAAGGTGCCATCGAGGCATCCCAGCTGCTACTGTCACAAAAAAACAACAAGTGCTTTATCAATTGGCCCATGGTAGGCCCAGTTTGCAACAGCTGTGGAATGAGTTGTTCCCCCTCTCCAGTGCAACCATACGAAACAGCTTGGACTGTAATTCTTGATGCTGTGTGTCTACTTTTCTCATGTGCCATCTCCATTCGGTACAAGCTATGACGGGATGACGGTATGTCGTATCCAAAGCAAGTGCAGCAAGTCTCAGCAACGACATAGATCCAAGATGATCCAAGAATGTCCTTGCACTCCTGCTCCGATTCCTCCGTTTTCATGGCACATCAGTGCAATGTATCTTGCTGGAGAGAGCTTTCTGTGGACTGGATTATTTGCTTATAAGTCCAAGTGTAATGGTCGTGGTACGTGTTTTGGACGGGTAGGTGTCACACTCTAGGTGAGCTGGATGCATGTTCTAGTAGAAATAAGGTTGAACAAGGAAACTTTCGTGAATTACACATTCATTCGCGTTCCATGTGCCGGATCTTGTTTCTGTATTCTTCTGCTATTGCTAGTTGTCGGGGTTGGAAAGTGCCTTTTTTCCCTAAGGACAACTGATGGCGTGGAGACGAATGACGGATTGCAACCATTGACACTGCAATTGGATGATGACAGTTTCATGTGCCACGACATGCAACGAAATGCCACAACATGCCATGACATTCGGCAAGTGGCAAGCACATGCCCAGTAGATCATAGTACACCATAGTAAATTCAAGTAGTTAATGTCAAGTGAGGATTAATAATACCCCCAGGATTAATCAACCACCATTACCCCCGTCCGGGGTACCTAAATAGAATGAGGGGGCTGGAGCCCCTTTTAAAATAAAAAAAAATAAAAAATAAAATGAAAATAACATGGGTCAGACCCCAGCATTTTATTTTGTGGGTGCATTTTATTTTTTGAGGTGCCTAACCCATCAAGTTAACTGACAGAGATAGCATGATAGCAAAGATGCACAGCTGGAAACGGTCTGATCATTTTGTGAAACATTCCAGAGATTTGGAATTACTTGGACATTAACTTCGAAAATGGGTTGGCCCCCCCTCATTTTCTATTGCCTTCCTTGGTCAACAAAAGACACACGGGCAGCTTACAGCAGCCAATGAGATTTCTTAAGTTTATTTATAGTTATTTGTATCTTTTCTGGAAACCGTCCAGATGTCAGAAGTGGAACCAATTATATATATATATATTATATTGATCGAAATCCGCGCAATTTTTCCTTCCTGTTGGCACGTGAAAAGGCTAAACAAGACTAAACAAAACTAAAAAAGATCAACCAATCAAATAAGGAAACAATGTAAAGGACTAAACATGCTGGGATACGTTGGAGGTTGGGTCTTGCAATTTTGGGGGTTTTCGAGTTTTCCTTCAAAGATGGTTAAAACCAATCAAAGAAGGAAACAAGACAAAACAAGATCAACCCAAAAGAAAATGCCGGAGCCTGAGGTCCAACAGTTGCATAACGTAGGTCCAACAGTGGCCAGGTGGAGGGTGCCTGACGTCATTTTCTTTTTGTACCTGTCCATTGTATTTTGCTTGGGTTTTCCTATCTTACCTTATGCCCTCTCATTTTATTGGCATTTTGTCCTTAGGCCCCTGCATTTTATTTTATTTTTTTAGGGGTTCCACCCCCCCTGGCAACAGACGAGGGTCACCATTGCCCAAAAAAAAAAATGTAATTTAAAAACAGGTGGTCCCCCAGGATTAATAAACCCCCCCGATTAAAAAACCACCAGTGCTGAAATCATTTTTTTATCCAACAAATTTTTATTTCCAATTCTATTTATTTCCAATTTGTTTTTACCTTTTTTTTAATCATCATTGTTATACTTAAGGTTTAAGTTGATCATTGAAACATTCAAAAAATGACTATTCCCCAAATGATCGATTTCTAATTAAAATCTTTATAAAAATCATCAGTTTGGATAGCTCCCAAAGGGTACCCCCCATGAGCCCATGTCCCCCATTAATAATAACCATGGTTTGCCCCCGATTAATCAACCACCTTTCTGATCCATGAGATTTTAACAAATCCAATAGAATTCTATTAAGATCTAATTGACGTAAGCCATATCCAAATTTTTATGGTTCAGAGTTGCTTACTATTAAGGGGTGGTCAAGAAAACCAGTCAGAAGGTACCCCGCTACCTTCTGGGGGGAGGGTTTATTAATCCGGTGTTGGCATTAATGTGTTTTGTCCTCAGGGTGGAAATCTGGCCGGTCCTGGAGCGGAACAATGGTGCATCTGCTGCATCACCTTTCCACCTGTAGGTTGAACAGTCCAAGCCATGTCAAAATGCCTCAGGTGCTACCTGCCGCAGCTCTTTGACGCAGACGCCGCAGCAGGGGCCTTTGCATCACTGGCTGAGACCCTGAGGAATGCCACGACCACAATTCCATCCCCACCCAAGGAGGGCCTGGATGCTGGATGACACTGCCAGATTTTGCTGGATCTGTTTGGGGCGGTTTGACAACATGACAATCAGAAAAAACCATTCACTCTATTAACTTGATGAGTTCGGGATCTCTGAGTGCCAAATAAGACTACCAGAGGGTATGCCACTTACATATGATGTGCGATGCCAGGATACCTCAAATGCGAATGACCGCGCACAGTTCTTCGCCAGTGGTGCCTTTCGACATCCAAAGGTGGCCCGACTGAAGGTTGCAGTATTTTGCAGTATTTTGCAGTATTGTTCTCAAGTGAATATGCTGGAACAATCTGCCGTTTTTCAATGCTGTTCATTTTTTTCTGAGTTTGCGCCTGCACTGCGCCTGCACGAGGACGGCGCAGAGAGCTGCGACTTTCGCTTCAACCCCAGATGGTGCCTTGCAGGTCGGCCCTTAGAAGGAGAGCCCCTCGGACATCCCGGTGGCACCGGTGAAATGGTGATGCTCAAGCAGTACACTCTTGTGACACATTACAAGATTTGCTAAGATTTTGATATAGATTTTAATTTTGCATGTTATCATCAAGCTTTTCATGAAATTTAGGGGCCTTTTCTGGTCCTTGATCCTTTTTTAACTGGGCCTGTCCTTCCGCTGAGGAATTTGGAGCAGGTCTTGCAGCTCAAGCAGCTGGTAGAGCTCGAAAGCCTGCAGCTGCTGAGAGCTTTGGGATCCCTGGCTTGGTCAGATTTCATGATATTTATAGGATGTTCTCATATTTTGTCGCATTTCCTGGGGCTCATTTTGGGGGCAAGCTTGGGATGATTTACAGCCCGGTACCGCTTTAAGCACTTTGAGGATCTTTGAGGTCTGTAAGCTATATAGAATAATATATGTGAATAGTTTGTTCCCAACATGTGTGAGTAACCGTTTGTATTCCTGATTGGAATTTGTTGTTCTTTTGATCCCAGCTCTTTCGAAGAAATATATGATGTGAGTGAGGTGCTCAAGAAAGAAGTAAAAACATTATTAACGAGGCAAAATGCCCAGAAGGTACCCTCTGGTAAACTAACATAGCTATGGAGAATCACCATTTTTAATGGGAAAATCAACTATAAATGGTCATTTTCAATAGCTATGTTAAATTACCAGAGGGTAGTGCAAACCTTGATTTGTTTGGGATGTGTCGGATTCACCACCGTGCCGGCGTCCCAAAAAGCACGTCCCAGTGCTTAGGAGAGGAGCCTGGAGAACCACTTTTTAACAGCGCACCCGGGCTGCAGATAGCCGTCCAGCCAAAACGGTCAAGCCATGACACTGTTCAATGGGTTCACTGGTATTCATGGCCACGGTAGCTTCAGCTTAATCAAAGACTGTCACAAGAGGTGGCAGGTGTTTTAATGATTCATCAAGGTGTTGGTGAACCTCTATTTGGATGGTCGAGCTCAAATCAAATGGCATGCTGATGATGAGACTCTTGGACTTGCACTTTGATCCTGTGATCCTGATGCAGGAGTGGGGTTACCGGGTTTCCCAATGGTTCCCAATGGTTCCCAATGGTTTCCCAATGGTTCCCATAGTTGATGGTTTCAATATGTTTCAATAGTCCAGACAGTATTCAGTCACAGTCACCACCTCCTCACAGATTCCAAGCGTGGAGAGCAAGGAACTGCTACGGCCCAGCAGACCGGATCCTAATTGGAGACTCGGGCTGCAATCCATTGGCACAGTTTGCTGCAGGTGAGCTGCCACAAGATGCCTCGAAGGTTAAAATCTCCAGTTCCAAGCCTAAAGCCTAAAGCATTTATAGCCCAATGCCCAAATGTTTCTGATTATGACCTTCAACATGAGCCCAGTATTCAGGGCCGAGCATGGGTTCTTTCTCCATATAAAGATTGGGTTGGTGCACGGCCACATATGAATCCTTTGCACCATGTCCAGAGTTTATCACTTATATCACACTGTGAGCTAATGGCATTTATCAGAAATTATAATACAAATATATAGGTTTGTCTTTACCAAGTCCTCGTGTGATTGAAAAACAGAAAGATGTAACTTCAAGACTCGAAAGCGGAACAACACGTATGTCACGTCATGTCGATGAACCATGAGGAGCGCAGCAACCAGTATGTCACTTCATGAGGAGCATAGCGTCAAGAACGTTATTTGGCCACCCATCCCCCCATCCCCCCATCCCCCCACCCCCCACAACCGTGCCCACTCATGAACAAAGAGGACCTGGTGGTGATGACAATCATATAAGATATATATAGATATATAAGTAATTACTCTATATCCAGACTTCCACAGTACTCTCATGCAGATGTGATCAATCATCAGCTCCTTGAAATGCCCCGAATGCCCGTGTAACCAATCTGGCACTGAGGCTCGGTTTCCCTGGGCGCAGCCCGATACTTCGAGATCCGCAAAAAGCCGCGACCTGGAGACAGGGACAGCGCCTTGGCCCGGGGGGGATCTCAGAAAACTGACCGTTGCGGAATTGGAGGAGAACATCTACCGGGCAACCCATGGGCAACCCATGTATTCCAGGGTGAAAGCTATGATTTTAGCTATTTTCACTGTAATCCACCCATCATTGATATCAAGTCTAGGTAATTATGTGCCTGTGTGCGGACCAACATCCGGAGTTCATTTTCACTTCAACAAGTCAGCAACCAAACATGCTGAAGCAACCTTCAGAGTACCCCCGAGCCAGTGAATCCAGTCAAATCCAGCCAAATCCCATACTTTGCCTTTTTTGTCCAGCTGTAAAAAAAAACAACAACATATTTTCGTCCATACATTTGGTAAAAAATACAGTAATTTATACTATACGCAAATTGCTCAATCAATGAGGAAACATGGAGAACATGATGGAATGATAGACCATGGTTGATGACATATTCAACATGATAAACCATGTTACGCGTGTTTTTAACATGTCTTCCATGATCCTCCCATTTTTGGACCCCCCTATACTGGGCCAAGGCGGTGCGCAGCAACGGCAACGTCTCCTGCTGCAGCCTGGGTCCTTGCTGATCATGGCAGGCTGAGGGCAAATCATCATGGTTTCCATGCGTTTCCTGCAACGTGTCACTTTAATCAATTAATCAATCCATGGAAGGTGCCTGTTGTACATGTTGGCAGCTATGAAGACCATTGAAGATCATTAAGTTTCCTCCAGGGAGGATTGACAAGTTCTATTCAGCCCGCAGGTTTCCCGGATTCCCGCGATGTTTGATCATGTTTGTGACCAGTATCCACCTGATTCGTTGCAGGTGCTATGCAGGCGAACTGGCAACATGCGCTCCCTGCTGTAACCTGGCTTTGTTGCAGTAGCATTTTGGATCATTGCTGGTCAAAAACTCTTTCACTTCTATTCTATCCCATGCACAAATTTCACAACCGCCCAGGGGACATAGGGGACCGGGATGTCTCACAAAAGTTGGCCGTTTTTCGCTTGTGCCAAAAAGGTCACTATGGTCACCTCATTGGATCCCTGCCCAGGATCCTTGCTGCACAGCACCGCGCATCAACCTCACCTTCCGGCGGATCGTAGGGGACTGGCGCCGCGGTGAGCCACGCCACGTCCAAAAAAGGATGGCTCTGAGAGTGCTGCGCTGTGGCAGTGCTGCGATGTGATTTGGGGTTTCAAACACCAGTCATTCCCTTTTGCTTTGGTGGGTTTAAGATGTTTTTTGAGGATGTTTATATATGTTTATTTTGGGGGGCTGCTTTTCTTGGCTCCTGAAAGGTCAAGGCTGAACATGTTCGGCGATATGGGGAGAAGACTTGCATATTTTTTGTCACTTTGGTGGGCACCAAGTTCCAAATATCCACTAATAAAGCCGTAGATGCATGTTCACGCTGTCATGTATTCTTATAAACCTTATTGATCTATATTGATTTCAAATTTCCCCAAGCCCTAAGTCAATATCCTAGCGGCGTCCCTATAAACCTGGAATGTAAACATCATGGTTGAGTCAGTTAAGAGTCGACAATTATATTATATAGTTCCCCTTGATATCCCTTTTTCTGGCTAGCCATGTCTTAATTCTATCATATTCTATCTCCCTTTATTATTTTTGTGATGTTTTTGGTGGTTCATCACATATTTGGATCACCATGGTGAGCCGGTCAGGTCGCATCACCACCCAACCGGTGGTGAATCGCTTCGCCGCTGCGGAGGTAGCAAAACACCTCCAGGCGATTTCTGATGTGGCTATGGATCAATACCTATAGATGCAGTTTGTTAGGGGATGAACATCCATTTGCCACCTATTTTGATGTTCACCAGGGCTACATGGTTTTGACCCATTCCCATGTTGATCATTTCCAGACTTTTCGCCATGCAATGTTTAGGGGTACCATATGATACATAGCTTTGAGCTATACCCATGTGCGTTGTTTTTCCAAGTTTTTAGGGGTACCATAGGGTACTTTACTTAGCTTTGAGCTCTACCCATTGAGTGGAAAACTTTTCCAGTGCATCGTGCAAAAGACGAGTGGTTTTGTTTGTACTATAAATATTCAATTGGTGCAATGGGCGGGAAATTGTTTATTTGACAGGATTCCAGGATGCCCTTATATAGGCCCTATACTATATATATATATATGTATATATATATTATTACATATGTATATATTGTAATTTTATATTATATATTGTAATTATATATTATTTATATGTATATATTATATATTGTAATATTATATATGTATATATATATATATATATTGTAACTATATTATTTATATAGATATATACATATATCATTTTAGATTAAATAGTGTACTTTATATATATATATACACATGATGTGAAGATGTGTTTTTTAGCGTTTTTTTGGTTGAAGGTATGTGTGATCACTTTCTGAGACCAAAGGCACAAAGCATAGAACACCGGGGGTTAGCCCAGGATGAGATCGCTAACCTTCAATCCACCAAGGTCGAGGCCCATGGCTTTTTTTTCTGTTTGTTGGTCAACACCGGGGGGGTGAGATGATACATTTGTAGAGGCAAGGGATGTTGCATGCTATAAATGTTTATCATGGATTCATCATGGTTTATCATGCCAAAACCCAATTCCTTGCGATTCAGGACCTCTACAAATGACTCTTGTTTCACACTTCTGGATTTGGAGTGTAGGAATCCCCATTTATTAGATGTGTTTAGCAGTTTAGCATTGTAAGTTTGATGCGCTGATCTTGAAAGTCTTGCAGACGTGAATCTACAGCTGCAAATCGATACACTTCCATATCCATACAGCAATGTAAGGCAATTTGACTTAGGCTGGTTTTTGCGCTTGACACTCCCTTTCATCCCATCACTGCAGGATGAAATCATCTCCATGCGATTGACGCTGCTGAGACAGTTCTCCTTGGTTTGGGCCGAGGAAGAAAGACGCGGCTCTGATCAGGCTGGAATGGCAGCATCCTGGGAGGGATGCAGACCAGGGCTACCAGTATAGCATGTAGGACCTGTAGGATTCATATTTCATATTTCCACGGGAATTCAGGCACCATTTGCCAATCCTGGCTGCAATGGCGGCCTTTTACACCAGTGCCAGGCCCCAGATGAGGCGCGGGTCGTTGTGTCATTCTACGTGGCAGGCCTTGTTCGAAAAGGTGATCCTGTTTCACCTATCCTATCACTCCATGACTGCTCCATGGTTATCCCCGTTACAATCTGCTAATTGAACAGTGTTCTATGATGTTCCATGGAACATCACCATTTATGACATTATGATAACTGAAAGGTGAATTATCCATAAATTGGCAGTTGTCCATAGCTATGTTAAATTACTGGAGGGTAGTTCATTTGCTTCAAAGCACAGTTCAGTTTATGCATGTTTATCCGCCCATAGATTGGAAACAAAACGCCTTCAAAGTCTATGACAAACATGTTCCGCGTATTTCCACTTGCACAAGCCACGGCGGCAGTAGGTCGATGTGGTGCAAGGAGCTTGCAGACAGCCGATGGCTTAGTCCTGTAGCTACATTGGGGTGTACTGAGCATGCTGGAGTCACAGTTGGTAACAGGCAAAGGGGCATAGGCCTTGCCAGTGGTTATCTTATTCATCAAACCTCTCCAAACTCGTCATGTTTAAACATACTGGTAGGCCATCAATGTATAATCTCGGATGTGTTTCCATGTGTTTCCCCTAGATTGGGACATGCCCGCATGGGTACGGCTCAAATTCATCGCATGACCAATCAACAGATGTGCCATGTGCCCAAATCCCCGATGCTCGCAGGTGCTCCCCACCCCAAGCTCTCCCAAGCGTCCCGAAACGCCAGGGTGTCGCAGGGCCTGCAGAGCGCCTCTCAACACCTGGGCCGTTTGGAGCTGAAAAACCGTATGGCCTCGGAAGCTTTGAAGGAGGCTGGCTGTGGAGGGCTCGGAGGAAGGCGCCCTTTACGTGAAAAAAATATGTGGAGTTTGGCTGTTCCAGGTGGGAAGCAAACTTGCGACGCTTCAGCACTCCCTTCGTGCGAAGGCGGCATTGTTGCGAGCATTTGGGAGTTGGGTTGGCAAGTAACGGGCAGACTAACTTTTATTTTTATTCCCCACCTGCCAGGTGAGGGTTGTTAGATTTTATGTCAGTTGCCTCCTCCTCCTTCTCCTCCTCCTCCTCCTTCTCCTCCTCCTCCGCCTCCTCTCCTCCTCCTCCTCGTCCTCCTCGTCGTCCTCGTCGTCCTCGTCGTCCTCGTCGTCCTTCCTCAACTGCGACCCGCGATCCACAGTGTTCTCTGCCGGACCTCAACCACGACCATCCACGCCCAGTGTTCCCTGCCGGACCTCAACCACGACCATCCACGCCCAATGTTCCCTGCCGGACCTCAACCACGACCATCCTCGCCCAGTGTTCCCTGCCGGACCTCAAACACGACCATCCACGCCCAGTGTTCCCTGCCGGACCTCAACCGCGAGTATCCACGCCAAGTGTTCCCTGCCGGACCTCATGTAGGAAGATATGGGACAAAGAATGTGCAGAAGAAAGTTAGAAAGAATGTCAGAAAGAATGTCAGAAGAGAAGATATGCCAGAAGATATGCCAGATAGAATGCCAGATAATATGCCAGAAGATATGCCAGATAGAATGCCAGAAGAATGCCAGAAGATTGCCAGATAGAATGCCAGAAAATATGCCAGAAGATATGCCAGATAGATATGTCAGAAGATATGCCAGAAGATATGCCAGAAGATATGCCAGAAGATATGTCAGAATATATGCCAGAAGATATGTCAGATAGAATGCCAGAAGATATGTCAGAATATATGCCAGAAGATATGCCAGATAGAATGCCAGAAGATATGTCAGATAGAGTGCCAGAAGATATGCCAGATAGAATGCCAGAAGATTTGCCAGATAGAATGCCAGAAGATATGCCACAAGATATGCCAGATCATATGCCAGAAGATATGCCAGATAGAATGTCAAATAGAATGTCAGAAGATATGTCAGATAGAATGCCAGAAGATTTGCCAGTAAGAAAATGTATAAATGTCATGGTGGGGATCACACGAAGTAGAGTAATTATTTTGAAGGTGGGGAAGACGTTAACGCGTCACATTCCGCCACATACATTTGCAAGTAGGGCTTGCTTGTGATATGCTTGTGTTTGCTTGGCTTGAGATGCCACGTTGATTTGTAGGGCCTTTGATGTCTGGGTGCAGCCAGTGATTTTCCAAGCTTCGGTTAAAAAAAGGTTGGCCCCCAATCCCGCATAGTCCTTGTATGTCCTTGTTGTGTATGGAGTTTTTCCCATGTACTTTTTGAAAAGCGCTTCTATTTTGAGAACCTTTTTCTTAAGCAATCCATTTCTTGACCTTACAACATCTTACACATGAATTTCACTTGGAGGTGCGCCAGAGACCGAAAGATACCTCCTAAATTGCGGAGCCCCTTCTCATTGGGCCATTGGGTTTTGGCAGAGCAAGCATATTACAAGCATTTGGCAGGCCAAGCATATTAATTACCATTGGAGTTATGATCCAATAGTGTCTCTCAATCTAATCGGACCTTTGTGGCGTATTGGAATGGAACGTCACATCTGTGGCAGGGTGGCATCATTCGTCCTGCCTCTCCTGTGACGACAGTCAGAAGCGCGCGTTCAGACGGCGAAGGTGAGGCTGAGCAGTTTATAATATGTATATATATATAAGTTATCTCCTCCTGGACAACCAGTTGGGTGTGTCACAAAATGGTGCACAAATGCGCATACCCCAAAATTAGCCGTTTTTGTAAGGGGAAATTCATCACTCATCAACGGATTTGAAAGTAACTACCATATTTTCAGAGACAAACCGCTGATGCGACAGTGTTGCATACCTCGTGGGATGCCATGAAAGACATCTTGGGAGATTTGTCACACCAGGCCCACAAAAAGCTCAGCAAGTGAACCTCTACAACCAATATCAACCAATGGCATGGCTTGAGTTGGCAAACATGGGCAGGGTTTGCCAAGACTATACCCGCAAAACATGCAACCACCACATATTACCCCCCATTTTCGCCCTAAAACGTATGGACCCTACGCAGATATGCTAACATCATACATCAACCCGCCAGCCCCACATCTCACAACTTGTGGTGCATCAGCAGCCACGTTGTTATCCCCTCAATTGGAAGCATCCTAGAATCAACATAACTATTTCTGGAATATAGGCAAAAACTAATGAACAGTATCAATATGTATCAATTTTCAAGACGGATTTAGTATTGAAAACCGCCAATTTAGATCAAATTTCATGCGTCCATTGGTGCCCAAATTTGACCCATGCCCACATAGGATTCATGATGATTCACAATGATTCTAGATTCGAGACATTATCATCTAAGCAAAACAGAAGCACTTCGCAGAAAATTCTGATCATTTAAGACTTGCCAATGGTATGTCCTCTCAAGGTAATCCGTGTGGTATCTCTTCGACGGGATGTACGGTGCTTTCCACTGTTTGTATTCCATTTTAAGAAGCATGTTGCTTCATGCGGAGCTTGTAAATATGTGTGCCGGGAGCCCTTTTGCTCTCTAGAAAAAATGACATTATCATCACCAAAGATCACACATGTAATGAGCTCCTAGATAGCTTGGAAGATCCTAGAAGCAACTAACATCCAGCTCTTCCACTTCCACATCGCCGTGCGCGGCCCCAGGCGACACCTTGCGGCGTTCCTTGGGCCTCGCAGAGGCCGGCCGGCGGCTGTCGGAGGAAAAGGTGCGAAGCTGCGAATGGGGGTGATGTGATGCGGTTTCTGTTGCTGATTGTTATTGGGGGACTTGGGGGGAATTTCTCATGATTGATTGGCTATGCAGCTATGGTTAAGAATGGTTATGTAAGAAACACGGTATATATTTATATATCTATGTGTATATCTATGTTTATATTATATATATATATAATTATATATATATAATATTATGTATGTGTGTGTGTGCATGCTTGTGTGGTGGTTTTAAGGGTGATTCAAGATGTACTATGTAACTGTCACTATGTCGTTTTGCCGTTGGAAGCTGTTGGGGCGTGGTGGGTTTCGAAGTTCCAACCCAACAGATCATGGGCTCAGCAACTACGATTGATTTTTTTTTGCTTGGGCATGGGGAACTCTGGAAGCCCGAGCACAAAAACAATGGGGAACTTTGGGTCAATCATAGAGGGGCATAGATCATCGCACCAATCATTAAAATGGGTTTGTACAACTTGCTGCCCCCACGCTGGTGACAACAATGGGAACCATTTCTGATTCGTGCTGTTCCAATTTGTTTGGACATCAATCGCATGAAAGTATGTGGGAGTGGCCAGTTACTCAGTTGACGCCAGTTGCAATAGATCCTGATTCAGTTGCACCGGGCTTAAGCCCCTGAGCCCAGGTGGGAACTTTGAGGCTCCTGCGCCTGAGTTGATCCATGAGAGTTCTGGGATGAAGATCTTTGCCCCTGGAGGAGCTCAGGATCGTTTGAAGGTGGAAATCGGTATGGAGTGCTGTTGGCTTGTGTGCTTGCATCACAAGTTTTAGATGGTTTTGACATATCCAGAAACCAGGGTGAAACTGCACCTGATCCAAATTTATGCGGCTGTGAGCAGAGATCTTGATCTTCCAGAGCCACCCCTGGGAGAATCATCTGTTGGTCAGCGATGAGCTGGGCGGAGCAGTTAGGACCTTCCAGGGTCGTTGGTTTTTCCTCGCCGGACTTTTTTCAGCATGTCCTGCTGTCCTGGACTCTGGGCGATTCCTTCAGGACGGCCTTCTGTGACTTCAGTCCTCAGATTTTGATGAAAGTGATGTGCAACCCTTTTGGCATCGCCGATGCCGGATTAGCAATAGTTTGCTGTCAGAAGGTTTGCATATGTTTGCATAACTTTGCCATGGATCCCATAGAACCACCAGTTTAAGAAGCAGCAGAGGCACTTGCCTGCGACGAACCCGATATGTCCTAAAGGCAGCAGGAATAAGAGCTCAGAGCAGAGGGCACTTGAGCTTGGCCGAAGGTCTTTGTCAATGGTGGCTCCCTGAAAAGATGCTTTGGTATGCTCTGGTATTGTTCTTCATCCGTATGCCATTTGCTGGGATTTGCATGTGTGAACGTTTTAACTGATGCTCGTCGCAATGTTGGGATTGTATGGGATTGTACTGTGGCTTTGGCTGGTGCTCAGTCTGGTGTCTTTTGTTACATACATTCTTACCAATCTCTCCTTCAGCACAGCATGACAATGGCTGACAGTTGTTCAGAATCAAAATGTTCGATCAAGAAACCAAAGTTTTTTCCTGCGTGTGGAGAGATTGGGTCAATCAATGTTCCCTCCAAGAGGGAACTTTTGTCCATCGCATAGCAGGTTGCTATCGATGTCAGCCTTTGCTCTTGTGTCAGGAGTCAGGACCATATGTTTTGATAGTGAAACGGTGACTGCTGGAACATGCTGGAACATGATCACCCCCATGTGGCAAAGCCATGCCAAGCCTACCAAGCATATTGTCAGAAGTAAGTGGGTTGCGTTTGATGATCTCACCTCACAAAAACGGGACCAGGAAAAAACCTGTTGGGATTTGGTGGGTTTATATGTTCTACTGCCGATAAATGTTTCCACAATGGCAATGGCCTCCGAAAAAGTTTGGACAACTATTGGAAAAAGAGTGATCAGATTGAAAACATCCAATAGCGCAATGGCCCCCATGTTTCCAATGGATACGGCTTGGCAGGTCGCCCAGATCTCGGAGTGGTGCTGCATGTGTCCCATCTCTGGACGCCACCTGGCCATATTGTGGTAGCACCTTTGGGTAATCTGCCCCGTGGCACCCTGGCAATGGTAAATGACCCATTCATACCATTAAACATCATTTAAGTATATCATTTGACTTCATTAATTCGAGATAAACCAATGACATCCAATAGTTATCCATCCATAACTTATTCACAACTTATTTCATGGATTATGTCCATTTTAGGGTTTAGGGGATTTATTGATGGAAAAAATTAGGGTCTGAGGCTTGGGATGCTTGGGCCTAGTCAGCCAGCCCAACTGAGTCCTGGAACTGCATGATGGCTTTGTGGCCATCAGCTTCCACAGCAGCAGCTGCACTCAGTGACTGGATCTTTTTATGGCAGGAAACATGTCCAGAAAATGTCCGAAATGAGATCTGGATGAGCTGGAAAACCATAGGATGAACTAGACTGAAATAGATTGAACTGGCAAAAATCATGGATACATCATGGCTACATGGCAGGTTTCAGAGATTTCAGACACGTCATGTTGGCAAAAATGGTGCACCGTTTCGACGAGGTCATGAGGTGAAGCTGCTGGATCCCATCGACTCAACGGTACGATGGATTTTGTATGGCTTGGGAGCCCAATTTCTGCCCAGTTTCTGGGGGTAGTTCAAGCTGCTTCAGAAAGATTTGCACCCAAAAGCCCTTCCGAAATACATTGAATACATCATGAATCATGATCATCATGATGCTTTGTTTTTGGTAGGGAACACAGGTAGCTGCAAGAATTTCAGGCCATTTGTGCCAGGCCATTCGCAGCCGGTGACCGCTTTCGCTGAATGTGCAGATGGTCGCCTTGCGGGGGCCCAAGATCTGACTGAAAGTTGGCACCTCTTTGTTTTCCCTGCACTAAGGTGTTTTTTGAATTGCATCCAAGAGTACTTGCAATTAGTTCCCACAATTTTCTCTCAGCAACTATAGATAGTGCATGATAGTACTGGGATTGATATGAGGATGCACAGTTATAATCAGTTTTGTAGAGAATGATGGCAAATACACTCCAACCAAGCTACATTGACAATCGTAGCTATGGTACCTTCACCATCTATAAAGGTGTTAATTTTGTAGAGAAACCATGGTGTTCAATTTGGTCATCGGATAGTCATGTGATTTCTCATGATGCAATTAGATCATCAATATATCCACCCTGATATCCAATAGTATTATGCAATATGCATTCCCAAACCATATAGTGGCAATTATACAAGAAATTATGCAATGTAGCTTACTGCAATGGCATATATAATGTTTGGTATAGTTACCGTCAATGATTACTATTACCATTTATTACCCATTCTAGTGATTCGACGCCAATTGCATTGATGATTAACAATCACAATGAATAGTAGCTGCCAACGATATTGATTACTATTACTACCAACAAAAGTATAGCCAACCCCAAGAGAAAGGATCGAACAAGCAATTCATCACAGTTTTTCAGTAGGAGTCTACTGTTCTGTCATTTTTTTTGGGTGGGGTGCTATAAATCCTATAGTAACCATAGGTTCCAACACCGTGGCGATGTGAAACGTGAGGCCACGGGTGGAGCCGATGGTGTCTTGCGTATCTGGGAGAAGCGCACCTGGGAAGCAGAGGGGAAGGACACTGGAGGGATGATGTGGCCATGGATCAATGGTTGGTGGTGATGGGAACATGACTTTTATTTCCCCATAACTGACTAACCACCAAAAAATGTTCAGAGGGGTGGAATAATCATCCCAACTGACGAACTCCATCATTTTTCAGAGGGGTATATAGGTTGAAACCACCAACCAGATCAATGATTGATAAGTATTGTCTGATGGCTTGATGTTTTATCATTGCAAAAAATGCCTGCACGAATGATGTTGACATTTTACGGTTTCTTGTGCGGTTTTATATGATTACTTATTGATGGTTTTTGATGGTTTGATATGGTTTTATTTTGTTTCATGAAATAAAGATGAGTGTGTGATGGTTTTGAATTGTTTTAAGTTGGTGTTATGCTATTCGATGGTTTTGTTCGTTGTACGTAGGTTATAAACTGAGCTGTATGTAGGGTATCCCCTGATGATTGGTAATCCGTTATAGCTTGTAACTCAGTGACTAACCATTTGGGCTCATGACCGGATTGATTGCATAATGTGGGAGAAGACAACCAAAAGGGTATATCATTGCTACATTTTTCGAGTTATGTAAATGTATCGTATACATCCAACACATGACGCAAATTTGTCCTGAAATTGGGAGCTTCCAACTAATTGCCATCATTTTTTTGGCAAAGTGATTTTCGAAACCACTGGCAGGTTGGGACAGGGGCTGCTGAAATTTCAAGAAGGTTGTAGGTGAGGGTGAGCAGGTTTAGATGCTACAGGCACCGATTGATTCCGATGGATGCATCAAACAGGTTCTAATATTTGTAATCTTGAAATCATCCTATCAGTTTAGTTAAATCATCACCCTTCTGTTTGAACAATGTCCTCCTTGCTTCACCATCAGACGCCGCAACAGGATTCTTTGGAAGACTTCCCGGTAGCTCCTTTGCAGAAGACGGCTGCCACTACTGTTCGGGGGCCCAAAAAAAGGCTGCGTCATGGCCTCCGTCGCAGTCACAGTCGGCTCAGGATTCCACTGCAGCTCCAGACTTGGCACAGGAGGCAAGGGTATTCGGGTTGGTATTCGGGAATTCCAGGGATCCGGTTGTATCATTTTTTAACGGATTTAAAGCATTTTGACATCATAACCTCATGGAAAATCTCATTTATTGGGATTGGTCATGATTGGTTTGTGTAGGGAACTTGCGCATGCATGCATGACAGACCATTTTCAAGATTTATATGATTTTATATGCTACATCCCGCAAGGATCGCCGCAATGATGAATTTGCATCGCAGGCAGTATGTGCACGCGCGTGTTCAAAGGTATTGGTATGCTCTGGGCGTGGTTGTAGCAATTTTTGCCCATCCTTATGTTTGGCTTGTCCTGGGATAGGGGTCGGTATGCTCGGTGGCCTGATCTACATTCAAATCATCCAAGCACTATAGACTATAGCCCCTGGTAATGACTAACATAGCTATTGAAAATCACCATTTATAGTGGATTTTCCCATTGAAAATGGTGATTTTCCATAGTTCTGTTAGTTTACCAGAGGGTAGATGTTTGAATGTTTGAATGCGTTCATTTTGTCATGGATAATCATGATATATCATGATAATCACCGGTTGCCCCCCAAGTTTTTTGTCACGTGACATCACGTGGCAGTTCAGGCCTGGTCAGCTGCCCAGCCTGGAGTTTGCAGTATGGCACACACCTCAGGGAGGTCACCAATCTACCCAGTTGGCTTCCAAAAACTGGTTACAATCTGTAGGTCTTCTGGGCTATTTGCCAAGAGGACAATGAATTCAATCTTTGGGCAGGAACAGCCCCAATTCACATGTGTTCCTCCGAAATCAAGAAACGTAGCTCCACCCATCCTGGTTCGGAGTTGCAATTGTTACTTTTGGAATATAGTTTTGGCGTCCTCAAATCCGATCCAAATCAAATCAAATCAAGGCCGATGAATAGATTCAGATTGATCCAGCTGGCACCCTACTTCTGATTCTTCAGGCCTGCTTTGCTCATCACCAGCAGGCGCCAAGATGGGCCAAGAGGGTCCAATCATCGGCAACCATATCTATCATCCAGACCCAT